CATGTCATGTTTTAGGCAGCTCCAAATACCAGATGAAAATGTTTTCAGAAACCAATCATACCACATAGCCAATGGAAGCTTTTACAGTGAGAATAATGAGGCAAGAAAATCCTAATTTCCTTGTTTATCCTGCAGAGGAAGTCCATACTCACAGAGGCAATTACCAACTTCACCATTTTTATACACTCAGCTCCATTGACAGTCATCACTTACAGACACAATTCCAGCCAGTTGCTACTGTGGCTGATAGTCTCTGCATCTAAATGAAACCAACATTTCAAAAGTAAGCAGAATAGTGCATATAAGCAATATATTTCTCTACTTTTTGTCATTCAAATGTAATTGTTCCTTTCTGCTCTTATGAAAAAATGTTTATAAAATTACTTTGAGAAAAAGCTCAGTGTTTTCATAGGATATGATTTATTAAAAAAAACAGCTTGAGAAGAATAAGTGACGCAGATTATTGTATTCTGCTATCTATTACCCTGATCTCTGAAGAAAATTTTGCTACCATTAATAGTTTCCAGTTATTTAGGAATCAGCTGGGAAACTAACTGATTTGTACTGCTATCAAACTAGTAGGAGTGTGATGGACTGAGGTTCCCCTCCAACTGGCACCCTTAGTTTAAAAACCTCTTCACCAGCTTGGCAAGACTGTGGCTGAAAATGCTCTTCCCGTCCTCTGACAGATGGACCCATCAGTGCCCAGCCGGGAAAAGCTTGCTCCCTTCCCATTTCCACCAGTGTAACTCCTATAGAAACAGCAAAGCAAATCAGCAAACACCAAACAGAAAGCTTTGGTCTTCCCATTTCTTTTGTATGTGGCAAGGATCTAGTTTGCTAGATCTGAAGGTAGGATGTAGAATTAGGAACAAGCTCTTCTCTTGGTACAACTCTTATTTTGTGGCACCAGAGTACTTTGCAAATACTGTTAAATTCAGGCTCATAAGACTTCTGTCAAATGCTAGATATTTTTATATGTCACATAAGAAGACTGATGAAGAGACCTATTACCCAGAGATAGGCAAAAAGCCTAAAATAAAATTGGAAACAGAAAGTAAGTCTTTAACCAAGAGATCCCATATGAACTTACTTACAAGAGGTTGCTTTGTACTGAGCCTTACTGGGAGGGTTTTGGTGGCAGGGGCTAGCAGGGTGGGTTGTGGTGGCAGGAGGTCATGTACTGCCCTGTGCCAGCCGGCTACTGCCATCTGCCCCTGACGCCACTGCAATAAACCCATCGTGTGCCAAAATTTCTGCCAAACAAGCACATGGTTCCTTTGCTCAGATATTTAAGAAAGTAGCAACTGTTAAGAGGAGAAGACAAATGGTGGCACTGTTGGGATGTGGTTGGAGACGTATTTTTGGAAGGAAGGGCCATGTGCCAGAGCAGACACAGCCCTGAAGGGACTGTGGGTCCCAGCACAGCAGAGCAGGGACACTGTGGAGGGACTGTGTCCCACAGGAAACCCACATTGGGGTGGAGAACACAAGTAAGAATCAAGAAGCAACAGAGACCTCCCCAGTCTCCTGCATTGCTCCTCGCCTCCCAGAAGGGATTAGGAGTATCTGAATGTAACCTAGCAAACTCAAGGTGAGTGGAGACCTGCAAGCAGGAAGAAGTTTTATACTGAATTAGAGCCCAGGGAAGAAAGGTGTTTCTTTGCCAACTGTTTTGTTTAATTCCTGTACAGGTTTAGAGCAAATTTGGAGGCGAATCCTCCAAAGGAGCTCCAGTGGGAAAAGCAGATCCAATCGGCCCCTCCCCCCAAGTGGTCCGGGAGGAAAAAATACCTCCTTGGAGAAAGGTGGGAAAAAAACCCCTGTTTATTAAACAATAAGATCAAAACAATATCAAACAATGAGACCCCTTGCCACTCTAAAAGAGATGACAAACTGAGAAAACCCCAGGTTGAAGCTCAGCTCACTCAGTCTCTCATCAGTCCCTCTGGTGCTGGAATTGTCGCAGGCCAGGCCTGGCCCGGTGGGGCCACAGCTGCAGCTGCCGGTGCTGGGCTGGGTGTTCAGTCCAGAGCAGTTTCAAGAGGTCCAAAGAAAAGGAAAAAAACAGTCCAGGGAACTTCTTTGCCTCAGCTAGCTAAAAACTAACTAAAAAGCAAAAGAAGAGCTCTCTGTCCCGCTATCTGTTCATCCACAGACAACACAGTCAGGAGCAGGAATGTGGAGGAGTGAGTGCAGTGTCTGAAAACAAACTGCGCGCTTCTTCTCTCCCCCCCTTCACTCTCTGGAACACTCTTAAAGGTACAAAACTTATTATTATTCAACATAAACAGAATGAGACAATTGGGGATAAAAGCATCATACAGTCAACCCAGGACAATTCCCTTTTTTCTCCTCAATACACAGATCAGTAATCAAAAGTTTTGTTAACTCGCAGTAAATTAAATAAATTCAATGAACCAAGATTGTTTTTACTCATGATGTGTTTATAAAGTTATATGGTATATTTCTGAAGTCCTACATACTGTAGAATACATTGTCAGAGAAAAGGGATCCCAGGAAAGAAGTAGCGGGGCAATACTTGGCATAGCTGTACTAATGTTTGAACAACAAATTTATGTGCTGAGACGGCTGTGTACAGATTCTCACTAAAAAGTATATTTAGTTGCTGTGTCTGAATTTTGACAAGTTGTCACCTACAAAGGGTGAGGGTGGGATGGAGGTAATAGGCACTCCCATTCCTATGGTATTTTGGCCATTGGATGAGGCTCAGAAGTGAATTAAGGTGAACTAGTGACAGCGGGAAATAAAGCTACCCACACAGGAAAACAACACAAAACAAATAATACATCTTAAAGCTACGAATAGCCCCCCATAGCCTCCCCATGGATGCACACTTTAAAGGTCTGAGAGCTCTCATGGTGCTGCCTTGTCTGTCTGTTAGCTGCACAGAAGAAATCATATGCTTTCAGACATCTTTTTCTCTAAATAAACTAGCTGGACATGAGTTTTTTCTTCAGGATGCCCTGTGGGGTCAGTGACTATGTCAGTTTCCTCTTTTCTCCCCATATAAAACAACTCTATGAAAGACTCAAGAATCTTGTAAATTGACCTGCTGATGGGTTTGGGAAAATGACATGTAACATTTTAAACTATAACCATCTCTTTGACTGCAGAAAGGACGAGTTATGCAACTCCCACATGGGAGGGAGAATTCTCTTTGAATTATTTCTTCATTTGGTTTTATGACTGCTCCACTGGGTTGCAAAAGTCTGATAAAATCTATTTTAAACATAGAGCATAAGTCCTTCAGACTAATATTATGATTCATCTACTGCCAACTTCCCCAATTATTCTCCCTTCTTAAAGTTATGTTGATAAATCAGTTGTCTGCCCATTTATTAAAGCATGTGGCAGTCTGTTTATTTAATTATCTCTTGGCCCATTTTCTAATTAAGGGAAATAATGCAGGCTCATTTCCTGTCATGGTGAACCCAGCAGTCCACAGGTTGTCCTCAACTACCCAAGACTATTTGTAATGCCTGATTTGTTTGGCAATTCCCTCCCTTCTCCTTGCTCAGCTGAAGAGAAAAATACAGGCATGGGTTTTTTTCTGCATTTCCACACTGCTCACACCCATGCAACTCAAGGACAGGAAGAGGGAAGCAGGTGAAAATTTCATCTTGGAGATTGTGAATCTCAGCAAAGTTAATAATCATACAATGATTCCAAGGATAATTTTGTGAAGGGAGGAATACAAAACAACTAAAGCACATTCCCATCTTGCTCTGTTGCTGGGCTTAGTAACCTCTTGCACCACTCTGTCCCTATCTGTCAACTTTGTGCAGGGGTTTTGATACCCACTAACTGCAGCATTCAACCATTTTTGTCCTCTCTGTATTCTAAAGCTCTTGTAATAAACTTAAGATCACCTCTATTCCTATCTCTGAGATATTCTGATTTGTATCTTGCTTATGATTTAACTTCAGTATTTAATAGCTACAGGATAACCTAGCATCACTACTCTGGCAGAAAAACTCCCTTTAGCAGGGCTGCCTTCTACCCCTTAGGACATATTTATATAGCATATTAATTCTCCTGTATAGAAAAAAACCTCAGCTGTCCTGTGATTCTGTGCAAAAAAAAAAAAAAAAAAAAAAAAAAAAAACAACAAAAAACCTCCAAAAAAAAAAAAAAACCCAAAAAAACAAGCCAGTGATTCCAGAACTTCCTAATAGGCTGTATGATACAGTATAGTCCAAACTCTAACCTATGGGGAAATGTCTCCCCAATCCCTTTTAAAGTTGGCTAGACACCCACAGTGAGGATTTGAACTGCTTTCTGAATTGTTCCTTACTTCTCCTTCTCTGCTTATATTTTTTTTTTTTATTTGCATTTGCAAGCAACAGCAAAAACATTTCCATTTCTGGGTCCTTGCTTCTGGGAACAATGATTTTAATTTTAATCTATTTCAGTCCACAAGGAAGTGTCTGGTTTTGTTACACTGCTAATTATGTGAACCTCTGTCTCACTTTATCTATCTCACTTAGATTCAGAGTGTGCTCTGGATCTAACACACTCAATACCTTCACAAACACCTACTTAAGGACTTAAATAACCTCACAATTCACCTTTATATAGATAACTGTTCCCTTTACACGCAATTAAGCGACTGCTATGACTTAGTGCCATGCTGTTACTGACCAGTGAAAACAGACTGAATAAAATTATATACTAAGTATATAGTACAGGAGGAAGCAGAAGACAAATGAACTTCTATTTTCAAATGCCAGGATTTTCCACCTTATATTTTTCCACACAACATACATTACATTTTTTTCTTTCTACAGGGCCTACTGAGGATTGCACAAATACTGCAGCAGAAAGAATGCAGAAAGGCAGAGTTAATCCCTTTAAATTGTCTATGTTGGATGAAAAAACCTTGTTCCTAGCGGAAACTTACTGCAACAAGGATGAGAAAGTCTTGGTAAAGGGAGAAGGAAAATTTCCTAGAGCTTTTGCCCAGACCCCACACTTACCAAAGGCTCTAGTTCTTTGCGGTCTATGAGGTTGAGCTCTGTCACAAAATAATAAAAATGCTTGTAGCAGGTGTTGACGTGGGCCTCAGCCCCCATAAGGATGATACGGTCAAAGTGATGGATGTAGACATGAACGAACACCCGAAAAAGCCGACAGAGTATCTTCTTGCAGATCTGGAGAAAGTTCTTTGGAAAGGGAACACCTGTGAATAGAGAAGGCAATGTTGTCATAGCCATCTTGTCAATCTCAAGACAAAAACCTTACAGCCAAGTGTGAGATTGTAACTGCAAACCAGGTTATGACTTCCTAGGCCTCCCTTCCAATCCAGAATATTGCTTTATGCATGCATTTCTTTCAGAGCTAGCACCAAAGATAGCCAAATGAATAAACAACTTTAATGGATTGAGGCTGACAGGAACAAGTTATTTATTTCCTATATATAATTTGGTGAATCCATCCAGTATTGTAACATGGGTGATTTTCACTGCAGTGCACATCTAACTATTAACATCAATGGATTTACACCATGCAGTAACTGTTCCCCAAAGTGAGGCATACAGAGCACTTAGAAGTAACACAGTTCCTGCTCATGTTTCTCAACAGTGGCATTTCACAGCATCAAATTTAACAACAAATTTGAAATAACTGGCAGAAGGACCTTTTTGCTTTCAACTTCCTCTCAGTTACATGTACCAATCTGATTGCTCCTTTAATAGAAAATCTCTTCAAGAGATACATGGCTCTTTCTTCAAGTTACCCTACTTTGTACCTGGAGATTCCAAAGCAGATGCAAAAGCACTATTTGCTAATAAACTATCAAGCATCAATAATGAGGCACAAATAATTTCTTCAGAACTGCTCTCCATTAAAGACTGATCTTGCATGGAGTTATGTGCTGCTAAGCTATCCCCAAAATCCTAAAGTTTTATCTCCTTTTATGATTGTCTCTCAGACATAATGACTTTAGTGCCATGCTTGGAACTTTACTGCTACTCTGCTTTGTTGCACAGTTTCCTGATTTTTTAGTTATCTAATTCATGCTTTAGTTGGATTTGAACCACATAAATGCAGCTATTTCTTCTTAAAAACTTAGAAGAACCCTCACAACCAAGCATTTCCATACTGCCTAAATGCCAATTTCATGCTCTGAACAAGAAAAACGTTTATTATTGGCAGAAAGAAGGTGGAGGTACTAAACTAACACTTTTGCAAACTTTCTAGTTTTCAAATTTCAGTCCCCTGTTAAATGTTGCTCAGCACTCATAAGAGTGGTGAATTGACAGACAAATTGCCCAGTTTCACTGAGGGTGATGTGAGGACATACAGAGAGAATTTCCATACCAAAACTTTTGATTACAGATGACATAAATTTTCAGCTGTGCTGTAACCAGTCTGCATCTGATCGACATAAACATGCATCTTTTTTTGGAATCCCTAGCCAAGGAGGTCCCAGGATATACCCACTGTGGATATTAACATTGGTATGTCCATCAGCATGTGAGCAGGGAAACACATCAGCCTGCAGAAGTATCCTTGAACTGCTTTTACATTTGCCATTACTGAGGTACAGATAATGTTGGGAAATATCTTGGGTTTTTTTGGCCTGTACTGGGTTCACCAGATATTTCAAAATCCTTCTGAAATAATTTTAAGTAGCTTGTAGACATGCAGTGCTGCTTTTCTTATTCCTGATGTACAAACCAAGGATCAGAAAATAGTTGCATCTATCAAAGCACAGCTGCTTTATCTTCTTAAGAAATGTTTGCTTTTTGTTGTCAAATCCATTCATTTAAATGCTAAAGCTATTATGGACGGTTAAGGAGAAGGCTTGAATGCTCAAGACATGAACTGAGACATGGTTAAATTACAGAAATGACAGTATGTACAGATGTCTTGGCAATGTTTAAATCACAACTCCACACAGTTACCCAAGCACCTGGATTATAACAATTGTTTTTATTTCCAAGGGCAAAATAAACATAATCTATCAAAAACATATTAGAAACTCCAAGTAGTTGCTCATTAACAAGGGGGATCACATTCACATTCCAGCCATCAGAGCATGGCTAAATTCAGGAATTATTATAGCAGCAACCTGCTTTGCATTTCTGTAAAATATACCTATACCAGAAATTAAAAAATATACCCAAGAAAATATCCAGTCTTTAAAAAGGAGGAAGGGGAATAACTGACACTTTTCACTGCAAGTTGGCTTGCTGAACTGAGAGATTAATTCTTGAAAGCACTGTATTTTGTAATCCAGAACAAATATGTTCCAAAATGGAGAATAATTAGTTTCATCTTGCAAGGGCTGACACATAATTGTTACTGAAGAATGTTGCTGTAATGAAGACATTTGTACTTCTGTATTAACTGACTAAAACAATCTGAATAAACCAAGCTAATCAATCTTTAATTTCTTTTCAGGCCATGCTCCTTCACAGTTACAGGCAGTAACTACAAGAGCGGCAGAGCACTGTTTCTGCTGCAAGAGAGGATGTTCACCTGACAGTTCTTTAGATGCATTACACTGTCAATTTGAGGACATGTAAACAACATATCTTTAAAAATAGTTAGTATACAACAGCCAAGGATTTCATAATAAACTTGCAGTGTTTCCTCCTGCTCCTCACATGAATCAAGGTTTCAGACCAATTGCATAGTTTCACTTGCTGTTGCAGAATCTCTCCTATTTTATGGAGTTGTATATGATTCATTAACTCTTAAATAAACAGTGAAACATTGCTGCTATCACAAATATATCATTTGGGCACAGGAGAATTGGTAGTGGCTCTCTGATTTCTTTCACATTCCAGCAAAACTGATTTACAAACTGACACAGTGTCCTAAAGAGTTAAAAAGCATCTGCTAGTATCACTGAAAGCAACTGATAACTTTTTGGTGAGCTACCTACACTCCTCAATCTTGGAGAGCCTGTCAGTCTGTCTATCTGAACCTGGCACAAAGAAGAGGCTCAAATCTGGTCAGCCTCAAGGTACCAATACTCATATCAAGGTGCCAGCAGCCCTAGTTTGAACATACACCCTGCTGCTCTTTGTGCTCAAAATTAAATAAAAGAAAACAGATTCTGACCTCAATCACAATAGAATGAACTCCAAGTAATGTCATCAAAATTGAAAAAAAAATCAGAGCAAAACTATTCTAGATTTATATTCTGAGGTCAGAATTTGGCCTCATGTTTTGCTCCCACTGCAACTCTACAGTTATAAATATATCAGCCACAGAACAGAGTAATTACAAGTGTCTCTTGGGACTGGACTAACTTATATTTAGATTCATTTGATTTGCTAAGAAGCCTGTTGTCTGTCCTTCATCTCAGCCACAGCAGTCTTTGCCTTAGAATCATCAAAGTTGAAAGAGACCTGCAAGTCCAACTGTCCACCCAGAACTATGACTTTAGTCCCTAAACACTAAACCACATCACCAGCACCAGACCCAGGTGCCTCTTGAACATTTCCAGGGATGGCAACTCCATCACCTACCCCAGACAACCTATTCCAGTGCCTGACCACGTGGCAGAGAAAATATTTTTTCCAGTTACTGATCTGAATTCTCTTGTCTCAGCTTAAGGCAATTTCCTTTTGTCCTCTCACTGCAGGCACATCAGGAGCAACCAATCCCCACCTCCAGCTGGAACTTCTTCAGTTAACCAAGACTGCTGGTAGATGATTGAGAGGGGTTTCGCAAGTTCTTCCATCATTACTATGGGGTGGATCCCATCAGGTGCCATAGGCTTGTGTCTAACTGGCATAGCAGGTCACCAACCACTTCCTCCTGGATTATTTGGGCTTCACTCAGCTCCCTGTCCCTAACTTCTAGCTCTGGGGGCTACATATCCTGAGGACATCTGATCTTGATATTAAAGACTGAGACAAAAAAGGCATTAAGTACCATTTTCCTCATTCTTTGTCACTACATTACCCTCTGTACTCAACAAGTGATGGAGACTGTCCTTTTGGAGACTGGCCCTCCTTTTGCTGCCAATGCATTTATAGGAAGTTTTTTCATTGTCCTTAACTGAAGACCAAATCAAGCTCTAGCTGAGCTAGAACTTGGCCCTTCTATCTTCTCCATCCATGGTCTTACTGCATCCTGACAGTCCTGTGAAGTTACCTCGTCCTACTTCCAGAGACAATAGATTTCTTTTTTTCCCTAAGTTTCAGCCAAAGTTCTCTGTTTAACCAGGTCAGTCTTATTCCTGACAACCTGTCTTTCTATATGTGAGGATAGCCTGCTTCTGAATATTTAACAATTCCTTTCTAAAACACACCCATCCTTCCTGGACTCCTTTGCTCCTCAGGGCTGAGTCCCAATAGACTCCTGTCAAACAATCTCCTAGACATGCCAAAGTCTGCCTGCTGGAAGACCAAGGTGAAAGTTCTGCTGGTGTTCCTCCTTACTTCACCCAGTATTGAAAACTAACATTTCATGGTTACTATGCCCAAGATAGCCACTGACCACCATATCACCCACCAGTCCTTCTCTGTTCACAGTCAATGAGTCCAGCAGAGCACCTCCTCTAGTAGGCTCATTTACCAGTTGTGTAAGGAAGATGTCTTCCACACACTTCAGAAACCTTCCAGACTGCTTTCTCTCTGTTGTGTTGTATTTCCAGCGGACACTTGGCAAGTTGAAGTTGCCCACAAGTACTAGGTCTGGAGACTGTGAGACTTCTGCCAGTGCTTGCAGAATGTCTCATCAGCCTGTTCATCCTGGTTGGGTGGTTTAACCAACCCACCCTGCTGATCTTTGTCCTGATCTTCACCCACAGGCACTCAACTATGTCATCTTCATCATCATCACTGTCAATACAATCAGAACACTCCTTAAGGTACAGTGCTACCCCAACCCCTTTGCTGCTTTGCCCATCTCCCTTCTGAAGAATTTATAGGCATCTACTGCAGCACTCCAGCCATGGCAGTCATTCCACCAAGTTTCCATGATGGCAAACACATCATAGCTTTTCTGCAGCACAACGGTTTCCAGCTTCTCCTGTTTGTTACCCTTGTGCACTGGTGTAGGTGCACTTCAGCTGGGCTGTCCATTGCACCAACTCTGGTATGTCACCCTCATCTCTAGAGAGCCTGGCCTTATCCCCTTCCCCTTCTAACCCAGTTAAAAGACTGACTGTATTGCTACCAGCAATGTGACACTGTAAAGAGACAGAATGTAAACCTACCA